TGATTTCTTTTTTGAGAGAATGGCACCTGAGATAGCATATCCTTTAAGATTGCTTTGATGTGTGTTACTTTACCATGCCATCTCTGAAGAATGTTACAGACTGTATTTTAGCATGGTGAATAAGAAATTTTTACATGGAGAGTTTACTTCAATATCCATTTCTAAACTTGTAACTGGAAATCACATTTAGGGACTGTACAACTGATTTTTTAGTACTGGTACTATTATCATCCAAGTAGACTTTAATAGATTTCATTAGGTTTTCTTTTGTTTCTAAAGAACATTTTGTTAGTATTTCATTTTTCATCTGTTTTATGAGCCAGTAAGAATCTTCTGTTGTTCCAAAGTTGAGACTGTTTTATATTTATTTCATATTGTTAACAGCTGCACTTGCTCAGTGCACGAGCCACTAGCCCTATGTAGCTATTTAATTTTAAATTAAATAAAATTAAAAATTAAGTTCCTTAGTTGCACTAGCCATATTTCTAGTGCTTGATAGAAACATGTGGCTAGTGGCTAGTGGTTACCATAATGGACAACACAGATGTAGAATGTTTCCACCATCACAGAAAGTTCTGTTGGTCAGTGCTGGTCCTATAATATAGAATATATTGCAGTTGTTGATGTGACAGCTTTCTTTGTCTCAGAAGGTAGATTTTTTTCATTTCACAGTCCCAGTAATATACTTTGTATTGTTAGCCTTTTATATTTTAGTCATTTGGTGGGTAGACAGTGGTATCTCATTGTACTTTTACTTTTGAATTTTCCTGATGAAACCATGTTTGAAAAAAAATGTTTTTAAGGTTTTACTTTTGTCTTTGGCTTTCAGCAGTTTTACTGTGATGTGCCTGGGTGTGGTTTTTGCTACCTTTTTGGGGTTTACAGTACTTATTGAATCTCTGGGTTAGTGTCTTTTATGATTTTTCCAAAATTTTGACAATCACCTCTTTACAGACTGCTTCTCTCTTTTTCCATTCTGCAATTCTAATATGAGACTTTTTCACCATATGTCATATGTACCTTAAACTTTTTCTGCATTTTCCATTTTTTGTCACCACGCTTAAGTCTAAAAATGATCTTTTAACCATTAATTCTCTGCTGTTAAACCCATCCATTAGTTCTAAATCTCAGTGATTGTAGTTTTCATTCTAAAATTTCTGCATATTTCTTTTTTTAATTTTCAGTTTTATGTATGTATTATATACCTTGTCTTAATTACAGTTATTTTGTTTTTTTAGATTTTATTTTTTTACTTGGCAGAGAGAGAGAGACAGCAAGAGAGGGAACACAAGCCGGGGGAGTGGGAGAGGGAGAAGCAGGCCTCCCACTGAGCAGGGAGCCCCAAGCGGGGCTCAATCCCAGGACCCTGGAATCATGACCCAAGCCGAAGGCAGATGCTTAATGACTAGCCACCCAGGCGCCCCTAATTACAGTTATTTTATTTTTTTTTTAATTTTTAAAAGATTTTATTTATTTATTTGACACAGAGAGTTAGCGAGAAAGGGAACACACACAGGGGGAGTGTGAAAGGGAGAAGCAGGCTCCCTGCTGAACAGGGAGCCCGATGCGGGACTCGATCCCAGAACCCTGAGATCATGACCTGAGCTGAAGGCAGACGCTTAACGACTGAGCCACACAGGCGCCCCTAATTACAGTTATTTTTTAAATTCTACAACTCATAAGTTCAATATTTGGTACTCCCAATTTCTGTGAACTTGGATAAAAAATTATTTCTTTTCACTAATCTCTAAATGATGTTTAGCCATTTCCTTTAATTATGAAAGTAGGCAACAAAGTCACAGGTGTACCTGCAAAGTTCAGATGCTTTCTTTTTTATTTTTATTTTTATTTTTTAAAGATTTTATTTATTTATTTGAGAGAGAGAGAATGAGAGACAGAGAGCATGAGAGGGAGGAGGGTCAGAGGGAGAAGCAGACTCCCTGCCGAGCAGGGAGCCCGATGCGGGACTCAATCCCAGGACTCCAGGATCATGACCTGAGCCGAAGGCAGTTGCTTAACCAACTGAGCCACCCAGGCGCCCCAGATGCTTTCATATTATATCATTATTATTATAATAGTCATATTGAAGTACACATTGTTTATGCTCATCACTCCTTTGAAATTACAGTAGTTATTAGACCTGCCTCTATGCATAGTTACTTGATGCATTAGTACAGAAACTCACATATGTCACAAATTCAAAAAAATATTTTTTAGTTATTTATGTGATAAATAATGGTTTCCAGTATATGTCTAATGTAGTTTTTTAATATGTTTAAAAAACATACTAAGAGGGAATCCACAGACTTCAGAGTGCAGAATGGTCCAGGCACAAAAAAATGGTTCTGTAGAGTGTAGGTCAGATTGTGTCATTGCTCAGCTCAAAGCACTCCAGGGGGTTTCGTCTAATTTCTCCCTGAGAGAACAAAAGCCAAGGTCCTTTCAGTGGCTTACGTGGCCCTCCTTAATCTGCATCTCCCCACTTGCTGCTTTCTGACCTCTTCAACTCCTGTTTGCTTTGGTCACTCTGCTACGGTTACACTAGGGAAATGCCAGACACACTTTTGCTGCAGGTCCTTTCTAGTAGCTGTTGCTGCTTCTTGGTCCTTCCTAGTAGCTGTTGCTTCCCTTGGAAAGGGAGAGCAGATATCAAAATATCTTCATAGCCTAGTCCTTCACTTCATAGCCTACTTAGTCACTTACTTCCTGACCACTTTACTTAAAACATATATCCCTGTCCCCTTGGTTCACATTCTGCCCTCCCCACCCAGTTTTGTCCCATATACTTATTACAGTTTTTCATATTATGTATTTTACTTACTCATTAGATTAGTATTGATTTTGGGAGTGGGGCTCATCATAGGCTTCTATTACTGGCAGGTTGGACCTTTGGCAATAATAGGTCAATTTTGCAGAGTTGCTGTTGGTCCCATGCATAATTTCCATCCCTTTTTGTACTATTTCACTTATAAGACTATTGCATTAACAGTGGTATGGATGATGACAAAAGCTAGCTAATGTCAACTGGCCAAGTCACTTTGTCTTTGTGGTTTATTGCCTCTTTCAAAGTTGGTGTTGTCTGGGTTAACATGGGATACAAAGAGCTTCGTATTTGGTGTCCACTTTTCCTATGTCTGTCTACATGCATCTTCCCTACACATCCTTGTCTCAATCTCTTGATCTTTTCTAGGGTTTATCTCACGTCTTCTGGAGAGCATGTTTCTCACCAATGTACTTGATTTTTTGCTCACCCGATTCAATTAGCATAATGTCATCTAGATCACAGACCAGCATGAATTTCTTCAGATTGTCCAGATGGTTTAGGTCCCTTTGGACTATGTTAACACAAAGGGCCAGAAAATTAATGTAGCCCTGGCTCAAGCATGCATATGTATGCTGCTGTTGGTCACCTGTGAATGTGAACTGTTTTTGGTCTTGCTTCCTAATAGAGGTGGAAAAAGATGCTTTACCAGATCGGTCACCGCATACCACTTACCTGACAAGGACAATAACCCTGTCTTTGTAGGCTGCCAAAGAGGCCTTTTGGCTTTTTTCACACTGTAGTTTTTAATTGGTGATAGTCATCCTCAGCCTTTCATTGTCTTTATTCATTGCATTGACTACACCCAGTAATAGCTATCCAGTTCTAGAGTTGTTTCAGTTCTTAGGTTTCCTGTACCTCTCAAATGCCTGGAATACTACACCAGCCAGTACCTTTCCTTTCACGATGAGCTTTTAGCAGTTGCAGTTGCACTGCTGTAGCATGTCAGGAACTATGTACTCCCCGTGATGGGGTCCTCGTTACTATCCAATTGGTGATCTCATCTTGGAATTGACTTCATAGGACCACTTTTGATACCAACTCTCTCAGGTCAGGTTCACCAAAACCATTCTTTGAAATTCCAGGATTTGCATGCAGAAGGTTGGTTGAAGAGTGCTTTTGGGATTAGCCCCTGAGAGAGAAGGTGCAGGGGAAACACTCTTAGGAAGGCGCAGAAATTGCATTGTCATGTGGTTGCAGAAGCAGCCTCAGCTGGTCCCACAGGGAAATCTGAAGCTGGTTTAATTTTTCCCATGGATCCCAGACTGAAGCAGGGGGCTGGACCATTTTACTGCACACTGGCCAGGCTGAATGTGGGCTGCTTTGGAATGGTAACATAATCTTGTATGGGGAGTTTAGGTGTTAGCCACCAGCAGACCAAATCCTGGAAGCTGGGGGAATGAGTGAAGTGGTGAGCGTGCAAAGGATACTGTAGGGCGCCTGGGTGGCTCAGTTGGTTAAGCAACTGCCTTCGGCTCAGGTCATGATCCTGGAGTCCCAGGATCGAGTCCCGCATCGGGCTTCGCTGCTCGGCAGGGAGTCTGTTTCTCCCTCTGACCCTCCCCCCTCTCATGTGCTCTCTTTCTCATTCTCTCTCTCAAATTAATAAATAAAATCTTTAAAAAAAAAAAAGAATACTGTAGTACTGGAGACATGGAGGAGATGAAAACTTGTTCAAACACTTGGTTGTGAAAGGGAGGAGAGAGGATAATCAGAAGTTCCTGAGGAGACTGGAAAGGATGAAATCCAGAATATAGGTATTAGATTTGCCTTGGGCAGGAAGAGGTTTCCATCCACCATTGTAATCAAAGAGGAGGAGGAAGAGAGGTGTTCAGATGCAGATGAGTTTATGACATTAGTGGGAGGAAGTTGAGGCAGTTGTTGTTTGTTGCTTTTGGGAAAGAGCCAGACAAATCAACAGCTGAAAGAAGGGCAGTTGGTTGGGTTGAAGATACCTACGGTGAGTAGATATTTTAATAGATGCTGTGGTGAGTGGGAGGAGAGTGCTAACAGGATAGCCACTAGTGTTGAGGGCCCATTTGGGTTTGATGATCCTGATTTTGAAGAATTATCAGTTTGTGCAGTTGTGTGACTTTTTTCTGGCAGTGCTTAATGTAGTGAAAGTGTAAACATTATGCCCAGTGTCTTACAACACTATTTTCTTTTTTCTTTTACATAGCCATCAGATCAAGTCACTACAGTATAGTAACACAGGAGACATGATTCTTGTTGTATCTGGAAGCTCTCAGGCCAAAGTGATTGACAGAGATGGTTTTGAAGTAATGGAATGTATAAAGGGAGACCAGTATATTGTGGACATGGCAAACACCAAGGTAAGCATTAAACAAAATATTTATTGAATTTAATTAATTCAGCACACATTTATTAACAATTTGATTGAGTTGCTGTAATTCACCCTAAAAATTAGTGTCTGGTTTTAAACAGTGTATTATTATTTCTTATAATTCTGTGGATTGACCAGGAAGTTCTTCTGCTTCATATAGTGTCAGCTGGGGCACTAGGATGGTTTTAATGTTCAAAATGCCTCACTCAGATGATTTATAGTTGGTGCTCTACCCCATGGTATCTATCCTGTTTCCAGCCCTGCCTCTTACCCACAATGTGCATGTGCATACGTACGTGCGTGCTCACTCTCTCTTTCCACGTGTCTAGTTTAGGCTTCGTAGCAGTGTGGTGGACTTAGTGGGGTTTGACTTCTTGCTTGGTGACTGGGTTCCATGAAGGATGAACATGGAAACTTCAGATTTTATAAGGTCTGGCTTCAAGTCTTACATAGCATTGTAGGGCCAACTCAAATTTGAGGAGAGGAGAGACAGACTCCACCGTTTGGTGTGGGAATGACAAGATCACACTGTAAAAGATATGGGATGGGAGACATAGATGCAGCCGTCTTTGGAAACAACATACCACGAACCTACTCTGGACTAGGCTTTAGAACAAGAACGAAAGAGGGTTTCATCAACCCTTTATATAACGATTTTTCAGTGAGATAATAGTATTTTGAAATTATGTTAAGTATCATTTAACTATAGCCGCATAAATGCTCTCAGGCTGAATGGATTGTTTATGATCACTAACATGTCTGTGGGATGTGTGAGTGGGCTCCAAGCTACAGGTAATGTCTGGGTCTGTTCCATGTGTCCCTGCTCCTCCTTGCACTAGTGAGCTGCCTGAGGGCATGTTTTTCACATGGTGATGGCAGAAACACAAGAAGGAAACCTCAACTCTGGAAGCACATTTCAGGCCTTTGCTCATAAGTCCCTGGACATTCCATTGGCTAGAGCAAATCACAGGACCACAGGTATTGGTGGAGAAATTTGCCCAGGTCTTTAGGGAGAGTAACCACAGTATCACGTGCCAAAGGTTGAGGATACAGGAGAGGTGATGGATTGGGGACAGTAATGCAGCCTCCCACAGATCTATTACAGTGTCAGTGGATATGGTTGGTGTGGAATTTTGAGCCTCAGTTTTACTTCTGACTTCTACTCCTCTTTCCCTGTCCTAGTATGCTCTTCTAAAACACTTAATACTCAAGGTTTGTAACTACATCAAAATCTAATAGATTTGATTGCCTAAGAAAATACAGTGGATCCTCATTATTTGTGGTTTCTGTATTTGCTGAAATGTTTTTGTAACCCCCAAATCAATACTCAGTGCTTTTGTGGTCATCTGCAGACATGTACTTGCACAGAGCAGCAAAAAAGAATGTGAAAAAGCTGATGCTCTTTCTTCTTGTTTCAGCTCTCACACTGTAATCAAGTGTCCTTTTTGTGATCTATGTAGTGCTGCATTTTTATTACTTGGGGGCCTTTTGTTGGTGATTTTGCTGTTTAAAATGGCCCCCAAGTATAGTGCTCAAGTGCTGGAGCACTGTCTGGTGTTCCTAAGTGTGAAAAGTCCATGATGTGCCTTGCAGAGAAATACATATGTTAGATAAGCTTCATTCAGTCATGACTATGAGTTCAATGTTAATGAATCAGGTATATATGTTAAATAATGTTTCTTTAAACAAAAACATAAAGTTATATATTGATTAGTTGATGAAGATATGACTGGCTTGTATGAACCCAACCCTGTATTGGATAATTCAGTATTTATAGAACTTTATAGATCATAACTACTGCAGATAATGAGAATTGGCTATAATCTACATGCTCTAGTTGAACTTTTGGAATAAATTAATATACTATGTTTCAAACTGCCTTCTATTGAAACCCAGTGAAGTTCCTCTCAACCCTAAAGAGGATCACAGTCTCATTCATTTTTTTGTGTGACTAATTGTTTATTAAGTGCCCAGTGTTAGGTGATTCAAATAGAATTCATATATAATTTAAGCATACAATTATATTCAGTGGTGGCTTCAGTAATTTCTTTTTTTCATGTATTTTATTAGAATTTCTCATTCCCTTCTCCTTAAAATCATTGCCCCTAGGATTCCACCAAAGATGATGTTGTGAGAGTGATGATGGTAAGGAAAGAAAGCAGATAGGTCTCTAGGTCATTCTCCCTGTCTTAAACTTAGTTCTGCTTTTATCTGCTTTATTTGAAGCTTTTGGGAATCCAGAACTATTTAAGCAACTGGTCTATGGAAATGAAACCTTTAATAACTTGTATTTAATTTATTCTCTTTTTAGTTTGTGCTTAACATCGACAGCTGAGCAGGGTCGGGCCTGGTTAGTACTTGGATGGGAGACAGTATTTCTTAAAAAGTATGAGGAAGAGAAGTTTTTGCCAATCTCTAAGCTCTTCTTAATTATTTCAGCCATTCAGGGCTTCTTACATTATAGAAACACTAAGGCTTTGTGGATTTAAGTTTTAGCTAATAAAATTTCAGGAAGAAAGGAATCCGGTTAGTTTTGTTTCTGGCTATTTCTGCAATTTCAGACTTAGAGTACATATAGTACATATAATAAGATGATTAGGAAAGTAGGACAAGGATGGATAAGCAAGTCTGTGAGGAAACATAGGAAATTAACATTAGCATGTTAAGTTACCAGAGTTATTTTTTACCTCCTTGGTTAAATATATTCCTAATTATTTAATTGTTTTTGATGTTATTGTAAATGGGATCATTTTCTTTCTTTCTTTTTCAGAAAATTCATTGTTAGTGTGTGAAAACCTATTGATTTTTTTAAATGTTAATTTTGTGTTCTGCAGCTTTACTGAATTTGTTGATTAGATCTAAGAGTTTTTTTTGATGAGTCTTTAGGATTTTCTGTATTTAGAATCATATCATCTGAAATAGAATTTTACCTCTTTCTTTTATTTCTTTTCTTGCCTGATTGCTCTAGTTATGACTTCCAGTACAGTCTTGAATAGGAGTAATGAGAGTGGGCATTGTCTTGTTTCTGATCTTAGAGGAAAAGCGTTCAGCCTTTCACCACTGAGTATGATGTTGGCTGTGGGCTTGTCATATATGGCCTTTATTATGTTGAGATATGTTCATTCTATGCCTAATTGCAAATCATATATCTGATAAGGGGTTAAAATCCAAAAATATGTAAAGAACTCCAACAGCTCAATAGCAAAACAAAACAAACCCAATTAAAAAATGGGCAAAAGGACCTGAATGACATTTTCCAAGGAAGATGTACTAAAGGCCAACAGGTACATGAAAAGATGCTCAACATTACTAGTCATTAGGGAAATGCAAATGAAAACCACAGTGAAATATCACCTCAGTCTATTAGAATGGTCATTATAAAAAAGATAAGAGATAACAAATGCGGGTGTGGTTGTGGAGAAAAGGGAAACCTTGTGCACTGTTGGTGGGATTGTAAATTGGTGCAGCCACTGTGGAAAACAGTATGGAGGATCCTCAAAAAATTACAAAGAGAGCTACCATATGATTCAGCAATTCCTCTTCTGAGAATATATCCAAAGGAAATGAAAACCCACGACCTTGAAAAGATATCTGCACCTCCGTGTTCATAGCAACATCATTTGCAATTACTAATACATGGAAACAGCCAAACAACCTAAGTCCATTGATGGATAAGTGGATAAAGAAGTTGTGATATATATATATATATATATATATATATATATATAATTCAGCCATAAAAGTGAGGAAATCCTACCATTTGCAACAACTTGAATGGACCTTGAAGGCATTATACTAAATGAAATAAGTCAGACAGAGAAAGACAAAATACTGTATGATTTATTTATATGTGGAATCTAAAACAGAGAAAAACCCAAACAACGCCCCCCCCCGCCCCCCCATCCCCCGCAACAAACCACAGAGTCACAGAAAAGATCAGACATGTGGTTACCAGAGGCAGAAGATGGGGAATGAGGGAATTGGAAGAGAGTAGTCGAAAGGTACAAATTTCTAGTTATAAGATAAATAAGTACTAAGGGTATAATTAGGGGTATAGTGTACAACATTATGACTATAGTTAACACTGTATGATATACAGGAACATTGTTAAAGGAGAGTGAATCCTAAGAGGTATCATTACAAGGAAAACTTTTTTTTTACTTTTTTTCTTTTCTTTATATTTTATCTGTATGAGATGAGGGATGTTAGCTGAACCTATTGCGATAATCATTTCACAATATATGTAAATCATATTATCATGCTGTATGCCTTAAATTTATACAGTGATGTATGTTAATTATTTCTTAATAAATCAGGAAAAAAATTTAGTTACCATTATGTAGAAAACTACTATATATTGTAACTACTGTAACATCCCCCACTTGCCTAATATCTCCATTTTGATTTCAAAATCATGGTTAATATTTACTTTCTTCATTTCCCAGAAGCAGATGTAATTAATTGACTATTTACTTGTCTAGGAAATGTTACTGATATCTTAACTGCAGTCTTTGGCTTGAGTAATAGGTTTTGGAAATGTAAGAATTATTATTTGAAAGTAGTAGATTTCATGGGACAGTTTTTTTCCTTAACTTTTTAACCTCTTTTCTGAATTGCAATAATAGGACATTAAAGGAAACAATTAAATATATCTGATCTATTGTGATTAAAATATTATGTCCTTCAAATATAAACAGGCCTCTCTGATTGTTAAATTGTTACATTGTTAAATTTATATCTCTAATCTTTACATCATTGTGTGTGTATGTGTGTATTTTTAAATGTACTCGTAGTGGTACAGAAATGCTTTTTTCTGTCATATACTACAACGCAGTTCACTATGGGGAGAGTGATTGTACTTATACCTTAAAAAAATAAAGTTTATTGGGTTTCTAACAGTAATTCCTGTCAACTCTAAAAAATTTGGAAAAAAATTACTCATAATTCTACTACCCAAATATAATCACTAATAACATTTGTTTCTGTATG